GTTGGAGGACCAGGGAAGTAGAGGGAGATGAGGGCAGGGCCAGGACCAGAAGCGGTGCTCCTGGAGCCCAAGAAAAGGTCTTAGTTGCTCTGGGTGAGAAGGATCAGGAAGTAGTATTGGTTCCCCAGGTGTCTGGGGCCCCAAGACTAGGAATGGCACAGGGCCCAAACTAGGAGTAGAGAACAGCGGGGGAGATGGAAGGGTGAATGCGGCTGCGGGTGTCAAGGCGCGGAGGGCTGCACGATAGACTTACCCCACGAGAGGCCTGAGGGCAGGAGAGCAGGCCAGGAGAGTTAGCAGGTGGTGGAGGTCCGGAGAGGTGAGGGCGGGGCCAGGTTCCGAAGCAGTGCTCCTGGAGCCCAAGGAAGGCACCAAGCTGGCCTGGGTGAAAAGGATCAGGAAGCAGCACCGGTTCCCCCGGTGTCTGGGGGCCCAAGACCAGGAATGGCACAGGGCCCAAACAAGGAGCAGAGAACAGTGGGGGAGATGGAAGGGCGAATGAGGCCGGGGGAGTCAAGCCGCTGAAAATATATTTTTAAGGTATTATATTACAGAAGTTTTTGGTATCTTTATGAAGTGGGACCTTCTTATGGCTATATAGCAGCAAAAAGGGAGGAGCATGCTTAATGACTCCTGTTTGCAGAGCATATATCGCAAGAATTCCTGCAAACCCAGTTCACTCAGGATAGCTAATGCTTTGTAGGAATGTTTGCTAATTCAGACCTTTTCTGAAGAAAATTTGTAAAATGCCATTTTAGGAAGTAAAATATGTTCCCCATCATTTTTGTTCTATTTCAGCATCTTATGTCCAGATTCCTTTTGTAGTTCAGTTCTTCAGATTTTCTAAATTCTGTAGAATGGTAGGTTTAATTTTTTTAAGCTCTTTCATCAGTGAGCAAATATCTAAATGTGTGGTCTGTTGTAATTTACACCTTAGATGGAGAATGGAAATCTGGTTTTGGTAAATACAGGCTGTTTTTATTTTTTAATATGACCAATTAACTGTTATATTTGATCTTTTTTTAACTAAAGCATCACATAATTTCTTTTTTCTAGTAACTTTACAAGTATTATATAAATTAAAAACATCGAAAGTATTTGAAAAGTCAAGGACTAAAGATGACAGAGCAAACACGGACATTGTAGATGAAGATCCCTATGCCATTCAGATCATCTCCTGGTGCCCAGAAAGCAGGATGCTGTGCATAGCTGGAGTGTCGGCTCATGTCATCATCTACCGATTCAGCAAGCAGGAAATGACGACAGAAGTTATCCCGGTAATCATCTCCTGTTTTCAGTGTCAGCTATCTGATAGGTTTCTTTAAATAATTTATAGAGAATTTCATACATGCATATAAGGTACTTCGATCAAATCCATGCCCACTCCCTCCCCTCCAGCTCCTCCCATATCTCCCCATCACCTCTTTCTGATATCTTCATGTTCTTCATTTATTTTTTTTATGGGTTTTTGGCTACCCTAACATTCCCCCCACTGAAGAGGCAACCCTAAAATCTTTTAGGGATTAGATACAAGCTCCCAAATACTTTCAACATTTTTGGCCTTTGGAATGGAGTATGTTGCTAAGAGGCCCAAGGACATTTTGCTTTTAGCTAAGAAACTGGCTACTTTTCTTTGGGGTCTTTTTACCCTAACTACCTAGCCAATTCCTACTTATCTGATAGATTTAAAATTTTTAAAGATTATTTAGAAGACAATTTGCAGTTGTTTTCTCATAAAAATTTGAAAATGCCTCAGTATTTACATTACCATCTGTTTTCTGAAAAATAGTATTTTTCATGTCTTTTTGCTGAATATTTAAATCTTTAAGTATAATGTGTCTTTTAAGAAAAACATACTCTAAGTTGGTATTCCATAAACTAAAATCATGATGCATGTGTGTGTGCTTTTGTGTGTACTGCACGTATGCACACATGTATTAAAAAGTAGAATAAACTCTTTTTTTCTGTTATCTCTAGGTCTGTGAGTAATTTTTTACTTCAAACATATTATTTCTGATGAATTATACTAAGATGAATGTTAATTATTAGGAGTAGATAAACTGCCTTTCTTTTATGATAGATGCTTGAAGTTCGACTGTTATATGAGATAAATGATGTGGAAACTCCAGAGGGTGAGCAGCCACCACTTTTGTCCACCCCTGTGGGCAGTTCCAACCCTCAGTCCCTTCCTCCTCAGTCTCATCCATCTACCAGTAGCAGCTCATCTGATGGCCTTCGTGATAATGTACCTTGTTTAAAGTAAGTTACAAGAATTAGAACTGTTTTACATATTATCTCCTAATTTAGATAAATTGTAGTCATCAGTGAACTCACAGTAGCGTATTCCTATGATGGAATAAAAGGCGTAGGAATCTGTCTTCTGTGCTGCCGGGGTTAGTCTAGTCTAACTTGTACTTTTATGGCATAAGAAGAATGATGCTTCTATCATATTATCCTTAAAATTACTAAGGTATAAAGTACTAACTAAGGTTTGATGTCCAAGGATCATCCCTGTATATATCACTGAATTTTCGAAGTCCAGCCATGTTTTTATTCTGGAGTTAAGTTTGGTAAGATTTATGGTTATACTCTTCTGTAGCACTCTGAAAATTATTCTTCTTTTCAGTCTTCAATTTAGACTCACCATTTTCAAGATCTTTCTTAAAAATCATTTTCTGAATCTTAGCACCACTATAGTTTTACTTAAAAGCCTTTATGCTGCCTAAATATCCATAGGTGTTTGGCCATCCACAGGAGTACAGCCAGCCTACCAGGGGCAAAGCATAATAAAAACTGACTCTCCATTTCCCATCTGTGAACTCTCAAGAGCGCCTCAGCTAGGGGTGGAGACTAGCCCCTCTCTACTCCTTGTTGAAATGTTGATGGGCTTGGTCTTGTGCAGACAATTATAGCAGTCCTTAAAAATGATCAATTTTTTAAGCTCTTTTGTAAACCATATTTGTCCCACATTTGATTAGCCTGGGATTATCAACAATATAAACTAGTAGATGAATAGTAAAATATAATTGTAATATAATGTGGAGATATATAATTAAAAAGTAGAATAAATATATATTGGACTTTTTTTCAGAAAATCTCTAAATGGTATGTACTGTGATGGTTAATTTTCATTAAGTTGATTAGATTTAGAATCACCCAGAAGACACACCTCTGGACATGTCACGAGGGAATTTCCAGAAAAGTTTAGCTGAGAAGGAAAGGCCTGCTATGAACTGGGTGGCCTCATCCTATGGACTTGAGGTTACAGGCTGAATGGTAAGGGGAGAAAGAGGAAGCCGCGGAGTACCACCATTCATCTCTCTCTGCTTTTTGTCAGTGCAGTGTACCCAGCTGCCTTATGCTCCCAGTGCCATGCTGTCCCACCATGAGGGAATGTGTCCCATCAAACTGTGAGCCAAAATAAACCCTTTACATTGTTTAAGCAGCTGTTATCACAGCGATGTGAAAAGCACAGAAAAGTGGCACCAAGCAGTGGAGTCCACTGTGAAAAATCTGGCCATGTGGTTCTTGGGCCTTTTGAACTGATTTGTTATAGAAATGTTGAAAGGACTGTACACCTCTATAACACTGTAAGCAAACCTTAATGGAATATTTTGGTAGGAATTTGGAGTACGAGAAAAATGATAGAAATACAGACAGTAAAGACTGTGTTGGTGAAACAAGGAGCTAGGCTGGCAGCCATTTATGTGTATTCTGGCAAAGAATCTGGATATATGCTGCCTGGGTGCTGAAAATATGAGGCTGATTTTGAAGATAGTGAACTACATTGATTGGCAGAAGAAAGTAAAACAAAAACAGCATGACATACAAATCGTATAATGATTGCTACTCAGAGCTCTTTGACCTACAGTGAGACAAAGCAGAAAGATAGAGCTGTGGCCTTGACAGGGAAGACTGTGAGTTTAAAGATGCAATCAAGGGAGGTATGGAGAAACCTGCCATTAAAGAGAAGCCTAGTGCTCTTCACATGCACAATGGGAAAGATGCCCTGAGATTACCCCACCCATCAAAGGCTCCAACTTGTAAAAATGGAAATTTGGGGGCTGGAGAGATGGCTCAGCAGTTAAGAACACTGGTTGTTCTTGCAGAAGACCCAGCTTCGAATCCCAGCACCCACATGGCAGCTAACAACTGTCCATAACTCCAGTCCCAGGGGATCCCACAGCCTCTTCTGACCTCTGCGGGCATTGCATGACACAGGTGCACTTACCTACATGCAGGCAATACATGCATACACATAAAATAAAAATAAATTTTTTAAAAAAATGAAAACTCATTTGAAAATAGAGCCTGAACTGAGAATCACACTGAAGGGGCTTCCTGCTCAACAACTACCTAGGGAAGTACAGCCACCAAGGTACCCAGAAGCCACTATGATTAAAGGAGACCAGACTACATCTCAGATTGGCAGCAAAATTTGGCAGCATCATTCACTTAGTGCTGGTTTTTCAGACATGCAAAATGCAAGAGTTTCAAGGTCATGAAGGTTTGCACCAAGGTTCTATAAAGGTGCTAAAGCTAGGCGGTGTTTAAGAGGCTGGGATTTCCTACAAGGAATCCCTGACAGGTCACTGTGGAAAGCTGTTGAGGTGCATCTTAAGTGCAGTAGAGGCACCAGTATGTTGGAGGTGGTGGGACAGTAAGACATCCACCAAGAAAAGCTACAAGCATGGAATGGAACTGACCCAAGAGAGAGGCTGCATGTTCTGCAAGGTGGCAGAACAGAAGTAGAAGCCACTGAAAGATGCTGGAGCCCAGATAATGCCACCAGGAGCCCCAGATGTAAATCATCAGGGTTTGCTGTTTCCCCTCCTGAGGTTTAGTCTGTCTTTGGTCTTTTCTTAGATTGGGACTGTTAAACTTCATTGTGTATTGGAAGTAGGTAGCTTTTATAAAAATTGTTTTGTAAGGACTGACTGGAAAGAGATTATCCTGAGTCTCAGGAGATTTAGAACAGTGTCAGAACTGTCACAATTTTGGTGGCAAGGGAGAGCGGGCTCATAATTTTTCATTATCAGATAGCCATGGGTCTTTGACATCCAAGATTGAAATGTTATGTGTAAAAGTGGTGTGTTTGGATGTCAGAATAAGGAATAGATTTGTGATAGTAATAATCATTTATTGTCAACACGACTGGATTGGAAATTTGAGACACACCTCTTGGACTGTTTTTGAGGGCATTTCCAAAAAAGGTTAAAGTGACAAGAGGAAACTCATTCTGCTTAATGTGGCATTACCCATGAACTGTGGTTTCTGGCTAAAATGAGAAAAGAGAAAAAGGAAAAGCCATCTGAATCCTGCCATGCATCTCTGTCTGCTTCCTGACTACACAAAACTGTGACTAGCTGCCTCATGTTCTAGAGTCGTGCCACTGTGGTGGACTGGGTCCCCTCAGCCATGAGCCAAAGTAAACACTTCCTTAAGTTGCCTTTGTCATAAAACAAGAATAGGAAATAACACATGTAATTGTCATAAAACAAGAATAGCAAATAACACATGTAATTGTCATAAAACAAGAATAGCAAATAACACATGTAATTGTCATAAAACAAGAATAGGAAATAACACATGTAATTGTCATAAAACAAGAATAGGAAATAACACATGTAATTGTCATAAAACAAGAATAGGAAATAACACATGTAATTGTCATAAAACAAGAATAGGAAATAACACATGTAATTGTCATAAAACAAGAATAGGAAATAATACATGTAATTGTCATAAAACAAGAATAGGAAATAATACATGTAATTGAGTTACTTTTATTAATTTGGTTTTTGATGTGGTCATTGTGACATTGACATCACCATTTAAATATAACTTTTTATCAATTCATTTTATTTTGAGACTGTTAATATTTTAACCACCAGTTCTTTTTGTAAGCAACATTTGGTGTGAGATAAGAGGTAAACAGCCCTACGACTTTATTGTATGAGACAGATCAAAGTTCAAGCTGTTTCTGGAGTCTGTGGAGCCACCCAATATTGTATTTTCCCCGTCAGTATTCTTTAACACATTAAGAAATAAAATAATTTCAGGTGGTAACTAACACTTTCACCTTAATTACTGATAAAGGTCAGTGATGTCAGCTAACACAAAAGCCAAGTGAGTTTCCTAATATTAAGATGTCTATTGAGGCTGTCTTGCCCCTAAGTCTCTAAAGCAGTGAATACCCTGCTTTTTCAGAAGATCCTGGCAACACTTGGTCCCAAATGCCAAGTCTGAGGGGGAAGTAACTTGACCCATTATTTCCTTTTAACCTGTTTTATAAGCACTTTACTTGGCCCAGGATAAAAGTAGAAAGTGGGTATTAAGGGGCCCAGGAGTTCCACTGACCTTCAAGGGGGAACACCAGGCTATGGAGAAGTATTCCTGCTGACTTGATTCTGTCACGATGTGTGGGTATGGGAAGAGAGTGGTGGTAATGTGTGGTTCAGGGCATGTGTCTAAGCTTTGTATGTCTGGTTATATTTTATTTTCACTAAATAAATAGAAATTCTTATTGGTCTTAATATATGATATATCTGTATATGAAAACTTAAGTTTAAATTATAACAAAGTTTTAAAACCTGGATTTTAAAAGCAAAAGTATAGATACATTATAATAAACTACATGATAAAGTAATTACTATTATAATTAAGATTATTTTGCTCATTTTTGCTTTCAGTAAAACTGCATGGGAAGAATAAATGGAAAGATTGTAAAAATAATGTGATAACTATATATCCTTTCTTTCTTTGATCAGTTTCATTTTTGAGACAAAGTGTTGATACATTGCCTGAGCTAACTTTGAGCTCATGATCCTCCTGGCTTATCCTTACTTGTCCTTTTTTGTTTTTTGGTCTTTTTGAGACAGGGTCTCCCTGTAGCCCAGCTCAAACTTACTACGTAGACCAGGCTGGCCTTGAATTCATAAAGAGCCGCCTGCCTCTGCCTCCCAAGTGTTGGGACTACAGGCTAGCCTCCCAAGTGCCACCACGCCTGGCACTTTTCCATATTTAACATTAATTAACAGTTTGGATAATTTTCATTGATTTTAATGCTTTATTAAGGGACCAATTTTCAGTGGGAGAGTTGTAGCCTATATTCAGGGAAACAGCAAAGAATGAAAACTAGTTTCTTCATAGAATGTTGTCAGCAGTGAAATAGCATGCATCTTTGAGACACTTGTCTAAAGTTCTTTGAGTCACGAGCACTTTGAGTCAAACACTACCTCCCACTCTGATAATCTTAAGGTGCATGCAACTGTTTATTAACTTTATGTTTGTTTTGATCTACAGTCCCAAATTCAAATTTCTATAAATAAAAAGTACAGTAAAAATCTGTTGAAATTTAACTACTATTGAGATCTTGTTTCTCATGCGTAATGCCTTTGTACGTAATTGGGTATTTTTAAAGAAACATTTTTCTGTTTATTTTTTTTAAGATAGGATTTCCCTATAGTCTCAGCTGACTTAAAACTTCTGAGTAGACCAGGCTGGGCTAGATCTCACAGAGATCCACCTGCCTCGACCTCCCAAGTGCTGGGATTAAAGGTGTGTACCACCATGCCCAGCTAAGAAACATTTTCAAAACTATTTTATCTGTTCCTTTTACCAATCAAATCTGATGGTTTTATTTTGTTTTTGTGATTGTTCCTTTAGACAGTATTTATCCAATCATTTTGAAACTGTGAAGCCTCCAAATACCTTTTCAACATTTTAAAATATATTGTACAAATTGTGGAATTTAAAATATATTTATTCTTATTTTATATGTATGAGTATTTTGTCTGAATGTAGATAATGTGTTCAAGCATACAATGTCCGAAGAGGCCAGAAGAGGGCGCCAGATTATTTGTAAAGTTTGGGTGTTTAACCCTTCTGAGTAGCTCCACATAGTCCTCTAAAACTTTTTATGCTGATATACCCAATGGATTCATTTATTTACTCAGTGTATTTTTGAGGTAGAAGCACTGTGACTTTGTCTTTCTGTATCTCTATTTAGCCTTTAGTATCCACTTAGTGAACCTTGAATATTTTCTTTGTATCAGAATATTAAAATTAGGTCCAAGATTTCTGCCTTGCTAGGTCTACAACATGGCTCAGCAAGTAAAGGTGCCTTCCTCATCCTGACAACCTGAGCTTGATCCCTGTAACCCACAAGGTAGAAGAGAGAACTAATTTTTGCAAATTGTCCTCTGACATACATACATACACACACACACACACACAAAGTAAATAAATGAAATAAATTGTTGACTATTTCTGCCTTCTGGAATTTATCAGCCATTTCAGTTCTCCCCACATATCATGGTCTAAATCTACCCTTTAAAAATTATTTCATATTGGAGTGATCCCAAGAGTTTCCTAATTGGTCTTGTCTGCTGTGTCTTGCACATATCCACCAAATTAACCTCAAAATTGCACGAGCACTTTGTACTGTTTTAAATGGTAAACATAGTTAAGCACACAAAATAAATTGTTCACATCTGTATTTAACTTGTCTAATGTATTTTGGCCCATTTTCATTTAGTCAAGTCGTGTTTGTAAGCTTTATGTTTTCCTAACATTTTTCTGTATTTTCTAATTGTTGTTGCTTTTACTGATTGGTCTTCCTGCCCTTCCCTGTGCTTCTTCTCCCTTCTGTCCTCTCACCTTTACCCCTACCTGCCTCCCCACCTTTATTTGTAGAATTTGCATACAGTTTCTCAGTTTTGCTGTTTAGGAACATGTTAATCTCTCCCAGTAGGTTAAATATTCCTAGAACACAAACTACTGATTTTTGTATTTTAGAAACTCTAGCATAGTTTCTGCATAAAACTGTTTTTGCATGACTATATAATTTTGTGTACTTAGGGCAGTCAGTTACTTGAAAAGCTGTTTAAAAGTGGAGAACTCTTAAAAAACTACAAATGAACCTACCATTTGACCTAGTTATACCACTCCTTGGCATATACCCAAAGAACTCGTGCTATTGTAGAGACACTTGTACATCCATGTTTGTTGCTGCTTGTTTAACAATAGCTAAGAGATGGAAGCAACCTTAGTGTCCCTCAACTGACAAGTAGATAATGAAAATGTGGTTCATATATATGATGGAATTTTACTCAGCAGTAAAGAAAGATGAAATCATGAAATTTGCAGGCAAATGGATGGAACTAGAAACTGTTATACTAACTGAAGTAACACAGACTCAGAAAATATATAATTGACATATGTTCTCCTTCATATGTGGATCCTAACACCAGTCTCTGAAAAATAAGTATACAACCAGACATAACTACAGGAACCAGGATAATGGAAATGAAACGGGGAGGTAAAAGAAAAGAAATAACCTGAAAGAGAAGAACAGTAGGAAACAGGTGTTAATAAGGGAGATATGGATAAAAATTGGCTTAGTTTAAAGGAGGCAGGAGGGAAGGGTATACAAGGAACCTAGGGGATAAAGGGGAAGAAGGAGCTCAAGAGAGGACCATAGAGAAGGGTAATATTAAGGGAGAAAGGGGGGAAATGGAGACACCTGAAGTGGAAAAACCATGATGGAGGGGTGAGACAATGTGAGAGATAAACTATGCCTAGCTAGTTTTGAAAACCAGAGGGAACCATATTACTCCTACAACCTACTGACAAATTATACATAGCAGATCAAGACATATATGGCTAGGGAAGGGTTATCTGAGAACAACTGGTCTTTGCCCAAGATTTATCTACATGACACACAGTAATTAAAAGTACCAGACTGGTGGAACTAACCATCTTGGGTGTTTAACGGACATACTTTGAGGCCTATAATAATTTGGTCAGAGGGACATAAAGGACAGTTTTTGCTCCTTGCCCTCCTAGGTCGACTAGTTCCAGCGGACTATGAGCATCTCTCAAAATGTCCTATAATGGTGGTAGGTCACCTGTCCTCTTGATCAAGGAGGCCGAGGAGACCCCACCAGATGGACTTAAACCAGGGTCCACTTTACAAAGAGGAGGGTCAACACAGGGGAATCATTTCCTCCATGCTTCCAAGCAAAGCCAACCATGGTTGAGCAGGATCTTTGACTTATCTTCACATAGGTGGAAGTGGTAAAAGAAAGGAGCCAGGGCTCCCCCCAAGCCCATGTGAGCCCTGAGGAACAGATCCTTAAACGACCTTAAGAGTAAAAATAAACTGGTTTATCTCGACCAGCTATATTGCCTTAAACACCCAAAAGGAAAATATAACCAAAGATTAAAGGGGCCAATATAATTTCTTAAGAGTCCATATGCATAGCCAAAGGCTACATAACAAGCAACAATGCCAGACAGACGATACCTTCTTTTGAGTTGTTGGCCAGGGTGGCCAAAGGGATTCCCAGATAGTAACCCAGCATAGAACTGGGAAATTGAACAGCAGACCCCAATCTTGTCCAAAGGACAACTGAGTACTGCTAGATGAGGAACAGCTGACCCTCCTAAAACTAAGACCTCTTGATAGGCTGACTAGATCCACCAGAAGGGCAAGTAGTGGGGAACGGCTGGGGTGCTGACAACACAGCAGACAGACAATAGCAGGAATATCACAGTATAAGGGCTTTAGTAGGGGGAGGGAGGCTATGGGAGGGTGCTACCTGGGAAGTGGGTCTATTAAAAAAAAATTCTTCAAAGCATAAAAATTTTGCTCCTTAATAACTAGTAGATTTGAAAAACATTACCATTGAAATCTACCTGATGACTTTATATCCATGCTTAGATGCTAAGGAGCTCAGAAAGTAACAGACTATGACTAGTAATAATCAGATATATAGAGATTAGAAATGCATGTGA